ATTGCTCAACAAGCAAACACATTAAGCAAAAAAAATATGCTACACTTCAAAAGCAAACAAATTATGGAAATGTCACAATTCAATAATATTTTATTTGCGTTTTGAATGATTGGCTTCAAAGAAATACGCGAAATCTAATTGAGTTGATATATCGTTGATGAAATACAGCTGGGTGATATTTAGAGGAAAAATGAGCTGAACATAGAAGCAAAAATACTTTTTATCTACAAATATGTATATATTTATTTAGATATATACATCATTTTAGTAAATACTAGACAATTAAAAGATTAGCTTAGAAGATTATTTGATTCTCTGTACTATTAAACTAGTAAAATAACTTATCAGTGTTGGTTTCCCGACAAAGTCTCTAATAATTTGTCTGTTGAGCTCTCCATTGCTGGTAATGTAGGCTTCTTCTTCATTTTTTAAAAAATATGGGTCAATAATGCCGTCGGAATGCCAACTGCATTGTACCGTGTTATACCAGAGTATCTTCAAAATATTTTGGACGAAACTCACGAAATTCATCTTTGAGTGATCTACGACCTCGATTGAGTGCACCAAACCAATAATTCCATTTTTTGGTCGAAATGAATATTCATCAAAATCTCAAACTTTACGATAAAGCTGTGAGTTGCCAGATTGTAATACTGGATTTGCCATATCACTCTCACTCCTTAATCCAAAATGCTGTGTGAACAGCTCTGTTGTTGTTGCACTATAAGTTGACAGCTACCCTTTCAGAGAATTCGATACCTCTAATAGAACACCATATAAATTTACTGACTCTAAGTCAGTAAATTTATATGCTCACATATTTCACTACACTGTCGTCTTTTTTAGGAGAAGTTCGATACCTTTAAAGGAACACCCTATATAACCTTTTCTTTTTATTGTCTTCGCAATATTGTTTTGCTCATTGCCTTAAAGTCAGAAATGTCTTACGAATTTTACTACACATACCTTATAAGAAAAGCTTATTAAAAGGCATTTTTTCGTATTGTCGATCGAAAAATTAAAAATTTACTAAATATCGGGGTTTAAAAGAAGTTGAATGTTACTCTACAGCTTTTTTTTTTTTGATCATATCGAAAAATTGGTAGCTAATTATATGGAGAAATATAAAGGATAGTGATCAGATCATTTGTCTCCGAGTAATCAAATTTAAATTATATAAGTAATTTTGAAAAAAAAAACAGCTTCTTAACAGCTATACCTCTAATCGTTATCTCTAAAAGGACACCAGATATATTTTCTGCAATTTTTGTAATTATGTTAAGTATTTTTATTTAATGTAAGGCTTTTACTTTCGTATATACTTTAGAGTCAGTAGAGTCCTCAGCATTTCCCTAAACTATGTAGTAGGGTGAAGCGAAAAAATTTTTTTTTTTGCTTAGCCTGATGGTCAATTTTGTAGATTATAAAAAAAGAAAATGTTTGGAAAGAAAACAATTTTTTTCACTTTTAGAATAAAGTAAATTTCGTTTTTTTCGCTCCACCCACATAGTAGCTTTCTACCAAGCAGAGTAATCTAATTAAACACTAGCGCCACACACTTGTTTGTTTACGGATTGTTCAATTAATTTTTCCATTTAACCATATAAGCAATTAAATAATCACAGTATACTATAATTTTGGCATGCCTGTTTAAGTATTTATGTACATACATATGTGGTACAAAGATTTATTAGAATAGCCGAGAAATATTTTAACTGTAATTTGCAAAATTTTTTAGATAAAATTATTTTTGTGCAGTAGATTTGCAAATCTACATACATACATATGTACATAATTGTCTTCATCTTCGTTTTGCCAAAGCTCTGCTTGTTTTGTTTGAGCTCTGCTCGCTTGTTAAAAAAGTTTACGTATTCATTTAACAATAAAGTTCTCCAGCTGAATTCATGAGAGGAGAGAGGTGACGTATAGAACACTCAAGTAGTATAATCTTATACTATTCTCTTTGTACTAAATTTTGAAAGTTTATATTGTATTACATATACCAGCCGCTTGTTCGATTCGTCACTCTCGAAAGTCTGGCGAAACGAAGAGACTTTAGAGACATATTTTCATACATAAATGTATAAAGTATATTACACATATATACATACATATAATAAAATCTATATCTAAAGCTACTTAACTATTGCCCAGCTGTTCTATATCTAGCCGCATCAGTTCTGCGTCAACAAATGCAGCAGCATACCTTCTGCTGAGTTATTTTTTCCTTACATATCAATTTAACTAATGTATATGAAAAGCACCAGAAATTGCTTGACAAAAATGCACTCACGCAAATATTTACATATCTACAGTCGTTAATGCATAGACTTGGCCTCAGCTGTACTTTCTGCTGTCATTTAGTTGTCTGCGCTTTGACTTGCCGCTGTCAAATTGCGGCTGGTGCCTGCTTCAATATATTTTCTTGCGCCTTTCCCTTTCCGAATGCTATTTATACGCCTATGCAGTGACGCACGTAGGGCCAAAAGCAGACATAATGCAAGATTTTTTTTACCAAAGCAGCTGCAAATATTCATTGGAAGCAAAAAAAAAAATCGTAAAAATTTTAAATTCTACAAAGCCGCTGTCATTTAGTTTTATGCGCGTGGAAATATACTGTGTGCGCACTTTTCACCGTTACGCCTACAAATTAGTTGTTATCTTTTTATTTTTCATTTTCTCTTCAAAATTTTTAAGTTTTCGCTAAAAATAAAATGATCCTCTTTTCATTCTGTAATTTTGTGTGTGTTCACCTTCGCATGCAGCGGCTTAGCAGCGCGAGAGTGCCTCACATATGGCATCGACTGTTTGTTGCATCGACCCCCTCACTCCTCTACTTACTTACATAGCTGCAAATAAGTTGATATATTTTTCCAAATGCTCGTTTTATTTTTTATTTTTTGTTTATCATTTTTCTTTTTGGTTTTTTTTTGTTGTTTTTCAAAATATTTCTCTACTTTTGTGCTTTGTTTTAGTCGTTGACTATAATAATTTTTTATGCGTTTCTTTTCATATTTTTTCGTAGCTTTTTACTTTGGTTTTACTTTGTTTGTGTTAAAAATGTTAAGATTTATGATTTTAGCAACATTTTTTCATGTATAAACCTACTTTTTCGCTGGATTTGAGTTTGTTTTCTAGCAATTTTCTAACATATGTTGATTTAGAAAATATTTTAAGTGGAAAAAGCAGAGTTAAAAATAAATAATTATAATTTTTGCTGCATAGCTCCATTTGTTTTGAGATTTTATCTTTTGTGAAACTAAATAAACGTAAATTTATGTTTTAATTTTTAACAGAATTATGTTAAAATGGCGTCCGCAAAAGTTAAATTCATAATTTATAGGTAAAAATTAGATAGATATTGATCTATAGGTACGTTGATTTGGGATATATTTATATATCCTTTGGGGTGTGACAAACATCATTGCGAACTTAATATACCCTGTTCAGGGTAAAAAAAAAACCATTCATTCATGTGAAGGAACATATTTATAGTATCTGTATTTTTAATAGCTAAGAGTCTACGGTCTTTGTTCTGATATGAACCTCGATCAAACATTTTAAAATATACGAAAGTTTTCTGAGAAGTCATTTGGTGTGTTCATACATCTATGTATATCTAAAAAACAGGTGATCGAAGGAAGCTTTGTTCGAGGCGACCTGTTCGAAACAGTGATTTTAGGTGATTTTTTCTAATATAGTTAAAAATTCTGCCAAATGATATTTTCGGAAACTTTCAAAAAGTATCATATTCTCTTCCATAACTTTGCCATATATGTACAAATAATTGCTAATGCTTCCAGCTAAAAATAATCACATCTCGCACTCGTATTTAATTTCAATTGTTGAAATATTATGCCTATATATACATGTACAAATGTACCGTTTTTGCATGGCAAATTTTTCTACTGTTATGTGTTCGAAATCAAAAAGTTTATGCATATGGACATACATATGTATTTAATTAATTGCTACTGAGTGGGTGTTATTTGGGTAATAGTATTTTTACTACATTCGTGTTAATCAAGCAACAAGTTGAGAATGTGAAAAAAGATAATGATGAATGCAGAAAAACAAAAATAAAAATGAAATAAAATACAAAATTATGACAATTTCACACTGACACATTGGACAAAAAAGAAAAAAAAATTGGAAAAAATAATAAAAATTAAAAATAAAAATTTGACGTGAACAAACATTTGATGCCACAATTTATGCATATAATTATATATTATTTTAATACAAAATTTTTTTTGACAAAATATTAGAAATGCCGACGAAATTTAATTTTTCACTGTTTTTTGTTTTGTATTTTTAAGAAAAATTTATGAACTAAAAATAAGTTTGAGATATTTACAGTAATTTTAATTAAATGTATTAACTTTTTTACCATCATGAAAAATTAATTCGAATATTTGCATCCATCAGGTTATTTATCTCCTGCATATTTTTTTAATTTATTTTAAAAATTATCGGAATGGCATCTTTTTTATTTTGAAGCTAAAAAATTGCAGTAATTAAAAAATAAAAAAATTTAGTTAAATATTTTCAAAGAATATTATGGTATTTATCAGTTCTGCACAAATACATTTGGAATAAAAAGAAACAATTGAATAAAAAACCTAAAAGTATTTAGACATAATATTTCAATTTGTATAAGAATCTAACCGAAAAACTGGTATAAAACACATAGACTGGCCTAAATAGTAGAGAAAGGATAGCAGGCGCTTATATAATTTTAGAGAAGCATGGATTGTATTCAATTCAATGGAAAACGTTTGAGAGCAGTGATTAATCAAGATCTAAACTATTATACTAGCTTTTTCAACAACTTAATGATGCAAATTAGGATAAAGAAAATAGAAGTATAGACCAATATTTGAACTTGTTTGGCGTCAGGTGATCACTGGATGTCCCCAAGACAACATATTGTAACTAAGATCCCTAATTTAGACACTTTCAACTCATACACTCTTCTTCTCTTCTCCTTTTGTTAACAGGTGAGGGCGCCAAAATGATTTTGGAGAAACACTTCGAAGCCGATTGGGCCAAGAAACTGAAGATCATTTATGTCGGCGATGATACCACCGATGAGGATGCCATCAAAGTACTCCATGGTTTGGGCAAAACTTTCCGCGTCTCTGAGCTGCCAACACTGAAGACTTATGCCAACTATCAAATCAAAACCGTTGAAGAAGTTGGCTGGCTACTGAAAGCCATTCAATCGGTCTATGAGGTCAAGAAGAAGTAAACCTAAAAAATGTCAATAATTAAAATTCCAAAAAAAAAAAACAACCAAAAACAAACAGAAAATGAGTAAACAGAAGGCGATTATTGTGTAGCGTTTTTATTTAACAACAACAAAAATACATTTTTATACATACAAGTATACAAGCAAGGAAACAATCACAATATAAAACAAAATCATTTATACTTTTACTGGACCACTAATTTTTGATTTAATTATAAATTATATAATTACGCATTAATTGTATTTATAAACTGTTAAAAGAAATTCAATGTTTTTAAGGTCTAAAGGTGTGTGTTAATAAAAATTTTCGAAGAAAACATAATATAAACTACGATAGTTGTTTTATTTTGCGCTCAAGAAAATTGCTCAGCGTCTCGAAGGCTTCTTTGGCATAAGTTTCAACGATAGTCGGGTATACGTAAACGGAACGGAGCTGCACCCTGTCATCTCCTCAACATTCCTCCAAATTGCTTCAGGGACTACAATAACAACAGCGAGACTTTTCCAGGGTATAATTAAACAGCTGTTATAATAAGGTCAATAACTTGTCATTGTTGTTGTGGTAGCGTGATAAATACCAACAGAATATGAGGAATAATTTCTCGAGTGACACGGTTATTTAGATTAGTTTAACGTGGATACCAAGGAAATGGTGAGCTTCCTGACACAGGTTGTATCTGAAAATTTCGGGGCTAAGTTTATTAATGAACTTAGAACTTAGAAATGGCCTCAAGTTGTATAATATCCAAGACATCTTCTACCAGTGCTTGCAAACATTCTACATATATTTTTAAAGTAAGAAAAATCAGTTATCCTTCCGTTTTATTCAAATAAGGATTGGAATAATTTTTTTAGCAAAAAATAATTCAGAATAAAAATTCTAAAATATTGCTTAAAAATAATAAATAATAGTTTTTGCATATAAAAAATCAAAAGCAACTAAGCATTTAACAACATAATTATTTATTTAATAAGTTACAAAAAATATCACAGGGTGTGCCAGAGTGGTTTGTGTATTAACTAGAAAGTGTTCTCAATTGGTTTGATTGCCAGCGCGCGACTTATCAGCTGTTTTTATCATTACTGCTGACGTTTATGTATTGTCTACAATTAATTTGTGTAAATAAAAAGATTTTACGGTGTCGAAAAAGTTACAACTACGAAAAATATAGTTTATAAAATTATATTAGGTCATTAGTAAAGTAGTGCGAAACCACAGATTTAACGAAACACAAAAATGGACACTAAACTGGATGTAAGTAAACCAGCTTAATGCCATTGAGCAATAAAACAAACTTTTCTAATGTATGCATTTTACACGTTTCTATACAGATGTTCGATGATAACATTTCGGCTTCTTCCCAATTGGAAGGTGATATGTCCATACCGGGTGCACGTAAAAATACAACACAAATAGGCGCACCGGATTTCAACACTTTAGATGAGCCAATCAAAGAGACATTTGTGCGTATTTTGGCTGCCAAGTTAATTGCACTTTTAATGACTCATATTTTTTATAATTATTACCACTGCAGTTACGAGATGTGCGCGCAGTTGGCGTAAAATTCTATCATGTGCTCTATCCCAAGGAGAAATCCAGTTTACTACGAGATTGTGAGTGCTTAAAGCCGTAACGAAGAGGTTCATTAACAACAATTACATTTTGTTTGAATATTTTAGGGGATTTATGGGGCCCACTAGTACTCTGCACCTTTATGGCTACCATACTGCAAGGCTCATCAGATAGCATGTATGATGGCGGTCCGGAGTTCGCACAAGTTTTTGTTATAGTGTGGATAGGTGCGGCTATAGTTACTCTAAATTCAAAGCTGCTTGGCGGCAATATGTAAGTACATGTCCGATATCTTTAAATGTTAAGCTACTAAGTTTATTTGTTTCACTATTTTTTTTTGTAGCTCGTTTTTCCAATCCGTCTGCGTTTTGGGCTATTGCCTTACGCCTGTGGCGATAGCGTTGATTGTGTGTCGTGTTATTTTGATAGCTACCCAAACGAAATTGGCATTTTTCTTGCGTCTGGTAACCACTACGCTAGGATTTGTGTGGGCCACATATGGTAAGTCAAAAGTTATAATTTTTCTATTTTGAATAGTATTCGAGTACATAAATATGTATTTTTAGCTTCTTTCATATTTCTTGGTGAAAGTCAGCCACCAAACCGTAAACCACTTGCCGTATATCCAATATTTCTATTCTTTTTCATCATATCCTGGTTAGTTATATCGCATACCTAAGTAAATAGTATGTGTAATTAGATTATTTAGTATACGTTTATCAAACTTATAATGAATTCCAGGGGATCATGAAACCAATTTAATTTAGTTATACTGTAAAATGATAATGTCTAAGCGCATAAGAAAATAATAAAAGATAAATAATAAAAAACGTACTTAAATGATATTGATTAATTTATCCCCAATGCAAAATGCTTTTTTAAATGTTGAAAAAAATATGTGCAAAATGAGTTCCTATATATAATGAGATTTTAAGCCTGTATATGAGCACCGAAGTGTTTTCTATCACTGCAAACTATACTTCGTTAGTGTGGAATTTTTTGTATATCAATCACAAGTATACATACATTAATATATTTGTACTTGTGAAACCAAAAAATCATATACTACATATATACAATAGATAATAATGTTCGAATAATATATAATATTATATAATATACATAATATGTAATAACGCTCCTTGCATGACTAGTCTTACATATCTCAAATCATCATAAAAAGTATCTTGTAAATTCTTATTGCTGTAACATTTTCACCTTTCAATTTGGAAAGAACCCCCCAATTAAATTTAAAAAAATTTTTTTTTTTTTTTTTAATTAGTTATTTCTTTTAATATTTTTTAATCCAAACTCTCTCTTCTAGTAAAAAAAATATGTATTTATACTTATATATTATATATTAAAAATTCCCGTTGATGCTGGCGTTTGTTCGAGATAAAAATGAAGTCTAGTTCCTGTGTATAACTCACAAGGTCCGAAAAGAGTTTCGAATTCATTTGTGTCTATAAGTTTTATTAATATTTCAGAGGTTATAACCTAGTTGCAAGGTCTGGGATCGTTTTAAAATAATTAATTTTTTACCAGTGTAAATTACAAATTTTACAATTTTTGTTATGAAGTTCTCGTTATAGCTCATTTGATTTTAAATCTCTAATCCTCGTCTTAATTTGGTTAATAAATGCTAGACGTGTCAATCCTTTCATAGTTTGATAAGATATTACCAAGTAGAACGCCAATAGCAGCCAGTTTTGTTTACAATTTTTTCGAGGCCTCTGTTGCTGTTGTAGTATCAGCATAAAATATTGGCTAAATAATTTTGAGAATGCTGCCGTGTTCACAGTCTTTGTCCAGATAAAAATCTGGAGTCGTTCGTGTTACTTAGACCCGACTGTTGTGGGTTAGAATACCCGACGCCACTCTATTCCTCTTCTACCACTGCTAGTGGTAAGTTTTTGAAGTCCCCTAGCCAGAGTAGCCTTCTGGCAACATCTGGGAAAGAACACCCTCATTCCATCTCTATTGGTCTAGCTGAAGCAGGTGTTGTTGTTGTAAGGAATTATATTTTACAAAATCCTTCATAACAGACACTGGTGTTGTTATTCATATTGCCACATAAAACATCTTCAATAAAGTTTTAAGAAAGCTACCAAGTTGACAGTCATTGACCAGCTTAAAATATGGGTTCGTTTCGGTTACGTAGATTCAACTGTGGTGGAAACGGACACCCGTAGCCACACTCTTTCTCTGCTACCACAGCTAGTTGTAATGCTTTCGACCTCGCCTTGCCAGAGTAGCCGTGTGCGTCATCTTTCACCAAATCCTTCTTTCGAACATTCTTTCAAACCCTGTTATTCATTCCAAGAAAATATAAATACAATTTTGGCCGGATTTAAATCCGGGTCTATTTCAATTTTGAAGATCCGTTGTCCTTGCTCAGGCTTCTGCACCGTACTGAAGACTGACGTGATAAGGACTTTGACTTTTTTGTTTTATTCGTCGAGAAGGAATTTTCCGTCGCAATTTATCACTCCACCCATATTAGCATTTGTTGACAATAGTGATCCTAAACAAATCTAAAGCGCCTTCTCGGAGTTAGAGAGCCGAAATGAAAGGCTAATTAGGGTTAAAATTGAATAAAAGGAATCTGCTGCAATTTCTAGACCGTCGTTTTGTAATAAATTCCAATTAATTTATTAAATATCGTGATGTTGTCTAAAAAGTTCTAAATATTACCCCTACTCCTAGCAATTATTTAGAGATGCTCTCTGCGAGAGTATTTCCAAAAATATTACCGTCCATACATACTTGTACATTCATATATAAATAGTAGGTACTGTTCTTCTTTTATTTAAAATTGCATTCACATATAAATTCTTAAATTAAAAATACGTAAATATATACATACATATACATAGATATGTCTTCCGTAATTTAATTATGCTTATTGTCCACTAAAAACTAAATAAAACTCATTCTCTAAGAGAAAAAGAATTGCTTTGCACATCTGCTAAAGCCCATAGAGATAAAAATACACCAACTAATAGACTTTCTGCAATACTTCCGCTTTCGACAATCGGTAGACATCGACGTGTTATCTTGTCGGCTACACATGTTCCACATCGAGGTTATTACTCAATTTCGAAGAAATCTCCAGTGACATTTGCGTACGTACACCATCCTCGCGACGATTGCGATAGGTCAACGAATTCGCACGTGCCTTACGACCCATAAAGTGACGTTCGACCCATTTGAGTAGCGTATATACCGAATCGGTTGAGGGCAAACGATGATCGGCTGCTGTGCGCACGATATCCGATGAGGTGACACGGAATGTACGCGCCATACCTTTGAGCGCCTGACGAGTGGAGAAACACATTTTATTATATTGGAAATAGTGGTTAAATGCTACAGCTAATAATTTGTTACTTACCACCATGGCATCCTCATCGGTCAGATCGTCACCTACATATATAATCTTAATGCGTTCACTCCAATCCACACCGAACGATGTGCGTAATATGTAAATTGATGCGCGACCCTTGTTCCATTGTACGGGCGGCCGAGCTTCGAGTGCACAATGCGCTTCGGTTGCTTTGAAACCGTACTTAATTATAAGTCCACGCGCTTTCTCTATCATCGCCGGTCGTAATTCGGCTGGGGTCTCACGATAATGGAATGTGAGTAGTGCGCCTTTGTTCTCCACCCAAGCGCCGTCGCGACAAACCTAAAAAATAGAAAAATGACTTCGTTATTGCAAGTTTTTGAAGCTGTTTAGGTGATTTCACTATGTGTAATACAATTTTGTCGTGTATAAAACGATATCTTGACATTCTGACAGGGGTTGGGTTTTGATAATATACCTATTCCTCTTGAAAATACTCTCTGAAGCTCATAAATGCTCAAAGTTTGACTATGAGACATTTTTATTAAAGACTATACTTCAAACTTAATATAAATCTTGCTAACTTCCGCCGAACAGAAAACATTGTGGTTCCAATAACCCTAGGAAAATATTACGTACTTGGTTATAACTAGCTTTATATATAATATAACATTACCAAACCAGTTTTATGTATACTCCTTATCGATTACTGATCTATTCAACTTTCTTAGTCCACTTCTGTCCTTTAGTAATTCAAATTTCAATACTTCAACTGACACCATCTCTTAAATGAACTAATTTTAACTTCCACAATATTCAGATCTTGCTATCTTGTTTCGCTTTGGTTATTTTGCATTTTTGGAACTTGTTATCAATCTGGCCACCCAAAATACTTTTACTCTACCCAAATGTAACGTAAGTTCACTTATTCCGTGTTGATAATTCAGTTGACAGTCAAACCAATTTGTTTAAAATTTCATGTGAGTTATCGTAAGACTTACCGAGTCCTGAAGCGCCTTTAGTAAATGACTAACTTTGTCCTCGTATTCTATCGGCATTGGATGCACAAACTTACTGCCATCGGGATGCAGAATTTCCAAGCCATGATTACCGGCATAAGTAATGCCCTCAATACCAACCATACGCTTCACATTGTCCACATTACGCCCCGAAATGACGGCAACATAAACATCGGAATGATTTGAAAGCTTAAAGAGTACATTTTTAATTTCGGGCGAGAGTGTGGCGAGATCTGGATGTGGTGCAATCGGCGCCAACGTACCATCGTAATCCAACAAAAGTGCCAATTTGTGATTGTAACCAATGTATCTGGAAACAAAAGAACATACAAATAAATACGTGTACCACTATGGCCACAACAAAAGCAACTTACTTGAGGAGATAATCATCAAAGTCGTCCACAGTGACTGGCTGCATAATGGTTGTGCCGACATCATCGACATCCAGTGTGCCCATTGCCTTCAGGAACGAACGCATCCAATTGCTAACATCACATTCTGATTCGCGTCTACGCAATCGACTCATACGGAGTATACGTTCATCTTCGGGCATTGTGAGTGCACGATGTATGACTTCGGCCGCGGCATGTACCTCATAAGGATTGCAAAGCAATGCTTCGTGCATCATCTCACCAGCGCCTGCGAAGGGTGAGATTACCAACACACCCGGACTCGCATTGATCTGGCAAGCTACAAATTCTTTTGCTACCAAATTCATGCCATCACGCAGTGGTGTGACCAAACATACGGCAGCATCGCGATACAAGGCGGCCAAATCATCTTGCGCCACATAATCGTAGATATAACGTATAGGCGCCCAGTTGGCTGTCGTGAAACGACCATTAATGCGTCCTATCAGTTGATCTACCTCCTCTTTCAGTTCTCTGTACTCCTTGACATCGGTACGTGATGGCACGGATATCTGTAATAAACTGACTTTCTCCTTATGCTGTGGATACTTCTCCAATAAGGTTTCGAAAGCCATCAAACGATGCACCAAACCCTTGGTATAGTCCAATCTATCAACACCCAAAATGATCTGTTGCTTATCACTCTTCAACAGTTTACCAGCGGTCTTCGCTAAAGTCACAAACCGTTCGTAAGGTATGCCAATGGGTAGCGGTCGTATACGAACAGTGCGTTCACCCTGTTCGACGAGTAGATTATTGCGATCGACACGACAACCCAAATTGCGTTGACAACAGTCGACAAAGTTCAGACAATAGTCCTGTATGTGGAAACCCACCATATCACAGCCCAACATACCTTGGAGTAATTCATCGGCCCAAGGGAACAAACGGAAGATATCCCATGGTGGGAAAGGTATGTGCAAGAAGAAGGCAAGCCGACATGGCAGCTGTTTCTCTTCCGCCTTCTCACGTATCCAATTGGCGGCCAACATTAAATGATAATCATGAATCCAAACAATTGGCGGTGTATTGTTGTCTAAAGCTTTGTTTTGCTCCAAACACTTCTCAAGCGCCTCAATGGTACGTGCCGCGAAATGTTTATTTACCGTTACATAGTTGTGCCAGTGTTCGGCGCCGAAGGTGGCACGACCGGGCATAGAGTGGAAGAGCGGCCAGAATATCTTATTGCAGCAACCATTGTAGTAGCTATCGAAAATCGCGGAGTTTATATTGACGGAGACGACCTACAGCAAATGACGCGACAGAGTGAAGATAAGATAAGCGGGTGAGTTTAGAGTTGATGAGTATTCAAGTAAATTAATTATGATTTAAATTTAAAATAATTAATACAATACAAGTATATGTTAATATATAACGTACACAATTTTGATTGATATTGCAATAAAAAAAGTAATACTAAATGTCATTAAAAAATTAATATAATATTTTGTACAAAAATTGCACTGTGATGACGTTCATCATGCAATGAACATTAAAAGCGCCGACCTACGCCTTTGGACTTTGTACAATCGTTAATTCCATAATCTTTGATTATTGAGAGTATTATTGAATTAATCTGTATATATGTACAGATAAATGTATTACAGACATATTCGTTTTAAAATATTGCTTTTGAGTCTTTATCAAATTTTTATTTAATAACAGACTCCCTGAAAAGAGTATATTAAGTTTGACACGCAGTTTGTGATACCCAAAAGGAAACGTCGGAGACTCTATAAAGTACATATATATATGTATAAATTATCAGCGTGGCGAGCGAGCGATTTAGCCATGTCTGTCCGTCCGTATATACGCGAACTAATCCCTAAGTTTTTGAGACATCGATCTGAATCTGTGAATTTTGCACACTTTCTTTTCATTCGAAGAAGTTGCTTATTTGTCGGAAATACTGAATAGCATATACTTGTACATAGCTGTCATACAAACTGAATGATCGGAATCAAGTCGTTGTATGGGAAACTTTTTTATTTAATGAGATATCTTGCAGAAATTTGGCACGGATAATTGCCCAAGGCATCTATGAAATCTTAGAAGAAATTTTGGTGATCGGACCACTGTAGCATATAACTGCCTTACAATCTGAACAATCAGAATCAAGTGCGTGTATGGAAAACTTTTGTATTGGACGAGATATCTTCAAGAAATTCAGCACGAATCATTGCCCAAGTCATCTGTGCAATCTTCGAAGAAATATTTAGGATCGGATCACTATTGCATAGCTGTCATTCAAACTGACCGATCAGAATCACATTCTTTAAGGAATCTTTTGTATTTGTGAAGGGTATTACAGCATCGGTGCAACCGAAGTTAAAATGTTTTTGTTTTGAACATAATATAGCCTAAAGTCCGCCAGTTAAACAAAACCTCTACTAATCTGTCAAAAAGTCAAATTATCAGCAGACTTGATGTCTATGTATATTAATGTATTATAAAAACAATCCTCACTTACATGTGATCTTATAGACTTAAAATTGTATTTAAGAAGAATTTTATAAATTATAAAATTCGTATATTTAAAAGCATTAAAAAGTGTTAATTTTAACCCTTTATCTCGATATTAGTTTTGGTTTTTGGCTCGCCCTAATGTATAGGTATGTGTGTAACTTGAATTAATACTCACTTGATCGGATTTTAAGCCTGCTGTAGGCGTTTGATCCGTTGGATTCGATTCGGGTATGGGCTCATTGGAATCTTCCAAATGTATGCCTGGCCAGCCGACCCACAAGCCTTTACCCTTAATCACCACCGGACAGACAGCAGTTACAAGACCGCCAGCGCTGCAGATAAGCGAAAAAATTAAATCAGAAAAAAATTAGTAAAATACAGAAATCAATAACAAATATAACATATTTTCAATAAATAAATTAATATATATATGTATGAGTATATGTATTCACGTAATCAAGCAGATTAGAGCACCATATGAATTAATAATAATAACATACTTTAATCAGTATTTACAAAGCGCTAGACAGGATAATGCAAATATGAGCAGGCGCGTCAAAGGAAAACACAGCGCTACGCATACAAACATACATTTATATAATTTATACATATATACAAATATATATATATATATATATATATGGAAAGACGTGCATATGCGGAAATATATATGTATGTACATACGTAAATCCCCCTTACATGACCGTTAGTATTTACGTATGTCATATGTGTGCATATATATGTTTGTGTGCATGTGTGTGGTAATTATGAAGTTGATAAGCTTGATAACACTGGCACCGGTACTGACTCTTTACCGCCCAGCCTCTAGCGCATCCATACATTTTGTTTACCGAAGAAGTTCACGAGCTCTCTGATAAACGTAATCACTAGTCTATGAATAGAAGCGCCAAAAAAAAGAGTAAATAATTTGAAAAAATTATATATGAAAAAGTAAAGTATAAAAACGCGAAAAAGAGGCAGGCATCTACAGTATCTGTGGGATTGGTCGCTTGCCGGTGGCTACACTCAAATATATTGAACCCGGTCTAGGTCCTTGATCTCATGTATGCTGTGTATATGCTGCTATCAATATACACTTAAATATATACATATGTATATACTATAATAAAAAAAATATTATTCATCAAAATGAATATATGTAGGTATATATACATATATATATATCTACAATATGTATGTATATATATATTGTTTTTTTTTTCATTTTAATAAATAAGAAAGGGCATAATCGTGCTTAAATGCACATTATTATAGCACATTTAATATTTATTCCTTGTAGTGCAATGGTAAATATTTTTGTTATTGAGTTACTGTTATCGAGTGCTAAGACCATTCTTTCTTCCATCATTTCTTATAGCATAAATTTGAGCAGCGTTTGTCCCTCGGCTATCTCTGCAAGCTTATCTCGTGTATTTCCAATACGCTTATCTACTAACAATACGGTTTAAAGGCCATAATCCTTTAATATCTGACATACATTCACCGTTTGCCATATACATATGTACATATACTCAAGTAAATTGCAGATTTATCTACATCTTCTGGTGGTATTGTCATTTTCAGTTGACATACAGCTAATCATTTAGCATCCTTTTTTTCCCCTGCTTACATTTCATCAAGGTCTTTATGAGCCTTTTAAAAAAATTCTTAATCCGGAGTCAGCAATTTTATTATTATAATTTTTTTTTTGAAACTGTTATATCTAATCAACATATAGTGAAGTGTCATAAAAACAAATCGGCGTGTTCGCTTAAGTGCCTTTATTTCCCAAAATCAAGCTTAGGATCTGTTCCACTTTTTTTAAAATCTGTCGTATTGATTGAAAACAAAACAGCTTTATGGAAGTTGAAGGTTAATGATTTGTCGTTGGCAGCTTGATAAGAATATACGGAATTCTTTAATCACGCATTCACAAATTATGTAATTAATTCATATTTATAGCATAAATGTGTAGAATAAAAATTAATAGCAAAAATGCTTTACTGGCTGCCATTCAATATTCTACAATTTTCAAGTAAAAATAGTGGCTCTTTTATTATAATATATGTATATTATCAGAGTGTATAAAAGAAAATTTAAAAACCGAAAGTCCTATAAATTGCAGTGCGCCAGTCAAAATATGTTTTCTTTGTAAGTGAGCTAATAGAATGCTCAACTTATATAAATTTTCCTGAAGCTATTTAATAACATATGTTTCTGTTCTGAAAAATATTAGGTCGTCGGAAAATTCCCCGAAACTCTTTACCAACTTTTTTGAACCCGAAAAAAGCTATTCGCTAAAATTTGGTGTAACCCTTTATCACTGGCTCTTTTACAGGCTCTTACTTCAAATGCCAAAATCAAGTAATAGATTAAGTTAGATTAACTTTCTCATTGAGAAGTGCTTGTTGTAATGACATATAGAATATTGAATGTATCCAAAGTGACAACAATGCCCCTATTTAAGGGCGAATAATTTGAAAAAGTTTCGAAAATATTATTTATCGATAAAGATATCAGATACCTTTTTCTAAAATGATCTTACTTTAATAGAACAAATTTTGAAAAAAAAATTGAGAATTTTACATACATAATAAACACACATAATAAATAATTACTTTTTTACTCATATAACATTTTCGTATTTTTACACAACGGTTGTTTACTTTTTTATTTTCACGCTGCAAAAATATTATTGTTACTTTGGTTATGTTAAAAGCTGTATACATTTCATTAAACAGAAAAATAAATCGTCTGCCAGAAAAAAAAAATTAATAGTACGCTTCAAGAAATTGCTTGAAAACTATACCTATGAGTATAATCGTAATATTTTGTAACAATAACGTAACTACTTAGTCTACAGTCTCCTATTGATGTTCTTTGCAGACCGTCCGCTTTTTCGGAAATCATTGAACGCTCAACTTTTCTACGTCGTGGGTTCGAACAACACAACTGATAGGGTTAAAAATTATACAGGAACTGTTTCTCACTTCAAATATTGTCAACTATGCGGTTATTTCACTATCTTGAAAACAATTCTCATAAAATGCTTGAGCTCCTCAGCTTAAGTCTGAAGCCACAAGTTACAAAAACGGAAAATAAGTTCCTAATTCTTCTTCTTTAAAATTCACTTACACCTGTCATTCACACTTTTTTCTGGAACAAAAATAATATATACAAGTTTTTACTCTCGTACTCACCTGGCTTTACGTTCCAATTTGCCCGTTTTCGGGTCACGACTCAAAACGAATGGCAAACGATTCGAGACCACTATTAAACTGGCCTTTGTCACCGGCTCCGAGTTCGTAATCACAATTTCCGTTTCGACCATTGCGGCGTTGTTACAGCTCGTCGTATATTCCAAAAAATTTAAAATTGGACTATAAGCACACAAATTGTGTCAGTACGTTTACTCTTTAACAAACAGTTGATATTTATGCCAAAAATTTAAAGTTTTGTTTTTTTAATAAGCGAAAAGTCGTTAACTAAGCTAAAGCATTTAAATGTATTTATTTATATTTTTGGCGTATTTATTTTTAGCACATAAATATGAAAATAAGTAACAAAAACAACTATGCACTGAATTCTTTAGAAATGTTGTCAAAAACGTGAACTTGTTCTTTTTGTTGATTCTTCAAAATGTCACAAACCCCATTTATAATTTGTATGCGCTTGCTATTACTAAGCATGCATGTATGTATGTATGTGTATGTGGATAAATAATAACGGGGAAAGCCTTTTCCAAATTTTCCAACTAATTGAAATATATTCTCTGCCTGTTGGATCCCAATTGTTGCTGTTGTTACTTATTAAACGACAAACGTTACGATCGGTGAGAAGTTCAACAACGAACTGAACTAAATCTCGTTCAGGATATGGCTTGTAAAGCCTCGCGCTCGACTTTAAAACGACAACTACAATAACAAAAACAACAATGACAGCGACAACAATAAGCTATTTCATTTGACTCCCGACTCGTCTCGAAGCGTAGTGATCCGTTGCGTCGCGATTGGAACTTGACTTAAGTTGACTTGCCTATAGAAGAAGCATCTCGGGTACTCTTTTTTTTTGCTTTTGTTTTTATTTTAATTTTGTTTTTTGGCAGATAAGGCGCGCTGTTTGCAATATATTACTAATGTGTGTCTGTATAATGTTAAATTTTTGTGTTTTTGCATTTGTTGGTATTTTTCTCGTTACGCTACAGTTTTCCGACGAATACAATCGTAATCAATCCACAGATGTGATGCGCACGGGATTACGGCCGCTCGTACTATGATGACACTGATTTTCACCGTAGACTCTATTAGTTGGCTACACGGGGGTGATAGTGTGAGTTTTCGTGTGTGTGTGTGTGTGCATAGGTGTGTTTGTTTATTGGTAAATACGCGACAAATCGCCACTGCAATGGCAAGTGCATCGTTTGGTTTCGTTACAATCGCATTTGCCGCCCTCTTCCCACCACTGTTCGCTAGTGCTATCAAAAATTTCCGAGCAAACACGCACACACACACATGCATACGTGCCGATGCCACGATCACTGACATGGGTGGGCCGAAGACGCCGTTGATGATCAGCTGAAAAACGACAACGACGACGACGACAATGTTGTCAAAAACAGACACACCGAGACAGCGTTATACAAACACATACATACATATAAACATGCATGTGTGTATGTATTAATAATTATAAACAATAATAAAATATATTATATAATTATTGTTGTTAATAAAAGCGTAGCGAGCGTAAGGGCCGCCAGGGGTGCATGTGGGTTTTTTTTTGCCTTTCAGTAGAACAGTTCACAGCCATTCACTTATCAGCCCTCAAATGCACGATTCCAGCGGCTGACACTACCGAAAACAGTTATAGTACATGCTAGATTAAGCACTTTCTATTAATTAGTTGAGTACAGAACATATACATAGATTGCGGCCCAAATAGACGAAATACGCCAGATCACATTTTTATTGCTGATCCAAGTGTGCGGGTTTTGGCAACCATGGACACAATCAAGTTTTTGGTGGCCGATTGGGCGCTGATATGTCTAGCTATATACATACATATGTATATGTATATACTTTTATATTTGTATTGTTGTTGTTTCTAAACCACAACAAGCGGATTTTGTGGCGTGTGATTAAAAAAAAGTTGTACCGTTCTTCTTTTTTGCTCTTAACTTCTAGTCGCATCTTTCAACTTTGTTTTTTTTTTCATCTGCTCTGACGACAGCTCGTTGTTTTTGCCTAGTCATCAGTTGTTGACAAGAAAACTTCCCCCAGGATGCATGTTCATCAATACGACTAAACCATAAAAAATAAATGCTTAATATTAAACAAGTAAGGCAGCGCTATGCTATTCGAAAACGAACATTATATACTCTAACAATTTTACGAGTTAAAACCGTGTGAAATTTTTCCACGTCTGCAAAAGTTTTATCTTAAAAACATTACCATATCAGATAAACATGTTTTGTTGTTATAAATACATATACATATGTAACAGGTTGTAAAATATTGAATTTATTTTTCAGACGACGCGGTTTGTAGGCCTACTTCTTTTAACATTTTTGAAAGTTGGAACTTATTGGCATATATTATATGTATCTTCGATATCTGAAAACCTTACAATGTAAAAATCTATTATGGCCAAAGCAGGATTTTATGTTTCTATTTTAGATAGCCATAACCTCAAAGCGTTCATGCAAATTGCATAATGTATAGTTTACATGGCTGCTGCACCTACTTCCTTAAACAGTTCGAATGAACATAGGTGAATGGAATCTGGCTATCTGGACCACGCACATAATTGAAACTATTGTTTCCTGATCTATAAATTGAAACTATCAAAATGTTAGCAACATCCGAGATTTTTTGCGAGCAATAAATGAGACCCTTACGAAAATTAAAAAACAAAATTTTAGCTCAATAGTTCATTTTTTTTCAAATTTATGGAATTTAGTGCTTAGCATAATTTTTGGCATATATTATATGTTACCTATCCCGATAGTGTTTTGTGAAAATATCGATCTTATCTGGTCAATAATGCAACACTGCATGTCTGTCTGCGTAGATCATGCTTCATACACTATTATAAAAATTGATTTAGTGCAGTAAGATTACATAACTTATATAACTGTTTGACAGACCCATTTCTGTATGTAACTCGGTCACTAAACATACTCGTTGCTGCATAAAACCCACAACAGAAAGATTTTTTTCTGGTTGAAAGCGAGCCTAGCGAGTCCTTTGACTGAGGATACTAAACATCAACATCATTGAATGCAATCCACTTGGATCAGACCAGATCATTTCCACACTTCTCATACCCAATTAATAAATTTAAACAACAACGTCAGACGAAATTTGACAGCGTTGCTACTAATCTAATCTTAATATGAAGACATGAACTCGCTGGTTATAATTGGAAAGAAATATTTTATTTACATCTTAACATTTGTAATTTATTTTCACACAAATAATTCATTTCCTGAGAATTAATTTTAAACAATTCAACTGTTGCTTATTTACATGCTTTTAAACGCATTGTGCTAGGGCAGGAGCACAATGTGGTAAATACATAATTACAAATAGAACAAAACATGAAATTTATTATATTTTCAACATCTTAAATACTATACATACTAAAATACCGGCACTCGCTTGTTTAAACCTGTTTTGACCGACCAAAATCATTAAGCTGCCGATAGAATAGATTATAATTTCAAGAAAATAAATATGTAATAGACATACATTTGTACATATATGTATTTATATAAAAAATATAGATAATACATAGTATTTTTTGAGTAATGACAATTCGGTAGACATCATTGATTCAAAATAAATACTTATAATCGTATGAACTTTAGCATTTAAGTACATATGAGCGAAACATTTACGAAAATTTACTTAGTCACGTGATCCCTGATGGTAGTCGCTCAGTCTGGAAAAATATTGAACCGAATAGTTTGAAGTTAAGCGAAGAAAAATAGTTAAATAAAAGTCGGCCGTGTGGCTAATGCTCAAGAATAAATACTTACAGTTAAGCACACCCTTTTGCTAGAGAAGCACACAAATTTCCGTATAATTATGAAATCTGTCGTATGTTTATAATCAAACTGCAAAAGAACACTTGATTATTCGTTGCATTGCCTTGTAACAGTCAAATCAAATAAAAACTAGTAAGGAAGGTAGGTGATTTGATCATTATATTTGATACATAAATATGATGGATATGTAGATCTGTACCAATTTTAACAATTTATGGATCAAACACCACATTGTTTTCAAGAAAATTTACCTATTTAATTTCATAGAGATATCCCACAAATCGGCTGATATTTATACCCTGAACAGTACATATTAAGTTTGCCACGAAATTTGTAACACTTAGAAGAAATTATCGTAGACTCTAAAAAGTATATTAAATATGATTAGCTTGACGAGCTCAGTCGATTTCGCCATTTCCTTCGGTTTGTCTGTTCGATCGTCTGTGTATACGCGAACTAGTCCCTCAGTTTTTGAGATATCGATCTGAAATTTTGCACACCCTACGTATAGCTGCTCATTTGTCGGAATCACCGATATCGGACCCATATTGCATATAGCTAACACACAAACTGATCGATTAAAATCAAAAACTTTTTATTTGACAATATATCTTCACCTTTTGGCTTGGTTTATTATCCAAGACAGCGTTACAATCTATTATTGAAATACGACATCAATTTTTATGATTGAATAATGACAAAAAAGCCCTCAAAACACTAACAAATACAATTATGCTAAATCATTAAAGTTTTTTATAAAGAAGTTTTTTAAAGTTTTTTTTGTTAGAACGAACCGCATGAAATCAATTGTACTTAGAATAAAATTATTTTAACTACTGAGTAGGTTCGGTGACCTTCACTTATGAAATGCGATTCAAAGCAATTTTATATTACTTATTTTATTCCAATTAGTGTGCAAAAATCATAACAAATATTATTATTATTGTTTTTTTATAACAGAAATCCAAAGTGTGATTATGAGTAAAATCTGACGCAATACTTATGAGGCAGGTTAATGGGGTCACCTTTATAGCAACAAATCCGAAAATGTGCACGTAAATTATACAAAAAATTGAGATTTTTCTACACATAGACTTAAAGACTGGTTGTGTCCCTAAGGCCGACGAATTCTTAAACCGGAAAAATTGAGTTCAAATATCAAACAACTTTAAAAAAAGTAGTACGATCTTATACGGCTGAAAAGTTTCAGAATTAAACTTGCAGAAAATAGTTTTTAGGGCAGAGCTTTCAGAATTCAATTAAGTAACCCATATGAGGCCTCTTCTTGTTATCAAATGGTTGGAAATGAGAATTAGTCTTCACTTACAAGCATTTTTTCTATATGACTCTAAATATACTATGTATATAGGCATGTATTTATATATATATATCATATATATAGGTTTATATATACATATATGTTTTAGTAAAAATAAATTCAACATTTTTGCATTAAGTTGAAGGGGTTATTTAAAATAGTTGGAATGATCCGATTTAGGTCAAATATGCACCGTTTTGTTTGCTGAAGGTATCGAGTAGCCATTTTGATGGTTATTCGACGATTCGTCTAAGATCGTTTTGTTCTTAGGTGACCCATTTTTCATCACCAGTAAGCACCCGCTTCAGGGGAGAATTTTGAATTATCGGAATGGAATAGACGAAACCAAAATTTCGCTTGTATATCTGTTAAAATATCAAAACCATAAACACTATTCAAATTTGTTCGTTTACTTTTCGTATCCTTTACATTGCGACCCAGTGTTCCTTATTGTCTTTAGCTTAGAGTTCATTCGGACCTTTTCTGACCCACTTTAAATATAGATTTAAGTTCTATAGCTACCTGAAAACCATTCATGTTTGATATTCCTATGAAGGAGTTAAACTATTTCACATATATTATTTCGATAGATTGTAGCCATATTTTTTTCAGTGCACTAAAATATGCATCCAATTGCTATGCAACCATTATTTTTAATATATTTACATTTGAAAAATATTTTTAATAAATACTATTAATAAAGGTATATAGTCTTTCGTATCAGCATAGACGTGAAGTCTATTTGATTTTTGCCCCCATTACATGGGAAGAAGTGATTTTACCCATCACGAAAAACTCGTATAATAGAGCGTGATAACTGCATGCGAAATATTCTAACTGTACAACAAAGGCAAATATGAAGGCAAAAGGGTGAAAGTAAGACATTTAGACATTATAGAATGCATTGCACGCTGCAAAATTGCATGGACCCAACGCGTGCTTGCCGTTCCGAAAGTTCTGCGTCACTACTCTCGAGCTGGGATGGAAAATTAAGACTACATACGAGTATATGGGAAAAAATATATAAACACTTATAAAACATTTGTCATAAGACGTTGTTTTGTTCAAAAAAAAATGCTATAGTTACATTGTGCAACGGTAGCGCGATTCCGCATTGGCCGTCCCCATTAGACCCAGCCTGTCACTTTGTTATTTACCTAAATGTCATATATGCTTTTTGGCTTACCGCTATTTGGACAACTAATACTATTATCACTTTATAACACATAATGCACCGCACTCATTATCAAGGCAAAGAATAAAAAAGTTATACATACATACATATATGTATGGAGACGAAAACTTTGGTGATAGGTTTGCGAAAAAACAGCGAACCAACAAGACACCCGACGGGCCGGCGAAGCGGTCACGACAAGGTTAAGCGCCGAATGACTGGTTGACTGACTAGTTCCCCACTCACACAACTGACAATCCGTTCGTCTTCCAACATATTTGCTTTCTAACTGTAAAGTAATGTAATTATAAACGATCCACGCCATGCTGACAATCATAAAAAGTTGTAATCAAGCGCAAAAAAATACAAACAAAAAATAAAAACATTAAATAAATTAAAATAAATAAACAAGTAAGTGCAAGCTCAGTGCATTGCATTAGAAATAATGGAATTAAGAAGGAATACGGCGAAATATATTTTGATTTTTGTTTAACATTTATTTGATATTGTATTGTGCGAATTTATCAACATTTTACATTTATGTTTACACACTAATACTTAGTAATGCTTAGTTACACCTATAGAATCTCATAATACCCTTATTTTGTAGATCAAATTCAAGTGGAATGTAATTAAACTTCATGTAACATTTTAAAATCTACTCAATTGTCGTAGTCAGGTAGAGCATAAAACGTGTGACTGCCATTCGGTGAGTCGTGAGTTCAATCTCTAGCCCAGCTAAAATTAATAGCTCCTCAGTACACTCTCCAAAGAAATTGTTTAGATCGGATCACTATAGCATATAGCTGCTATACAAACTGATCCATCAAAATCAAGTTTTTGTGTGGAAACTTTTGTATTTGTGAAGGGTATTATTAACGTGTTTTTTTGTTTTTATACTCTCACAACTTGTTGCTATGGAGTATAATAGTTTTGTTGACGTAACGGTTGCTTACTTGTTTATTAATAAGTATCATATGTACTTTCTATAACCTTTAGGAATATGTATATACTAAGTTTCATAATAATTGGTTAAGTGGTCTCGACGTGAAAGCAGACCAAGGAACTTAGATTCACATTTATGATATTAGTAGGGATAGGGATTTTTTTCTAGGGAAGTGTCTTGCGATCTGAGAACATAAAAAAGTAGTTGGAACTAAATACGGAGAATACGATGAAAATATAATAATTTTGCTACAGTTGTCTATTGACTCGTAATCAATCGGGGAAATTTCCCAAATATTCATAAACGATATATCCAACATACATACTTTAACATCTTTAGAGTGTTGACTATCTCGATCAACTAAATTTGATGGTCATCCGAAATTATATTGTTGAGTTTTTTGTGTTTCCTATCGTAAAAACCACTTCTGGACGTCCACTGTGTGCCTTGACTTCAAAACTTATATGCTCTATACTGAATTTTAAAAGCCTCTTTTTACACTATTTTTAAAACAATTAAACTTACGTCACTTCAAATGCTACATATGTATATGGTATTTAATGAGCTTTTTCCGAACTCTAATTTGTAATATTAAAATCGAAGAATTATCCAGTGCAAGAAAATAAGTCTGCAACCCTTGGCAGTACCCACCCATTTTATATTTCTTTTTTACCTTTTCAGCCAAAATTGTTTTGCGATATATTTCGCTACAAGATGTATACTTCTCGACTGTTATACATAACTATATTTGCACTAAGCTTTTGAGAAGCTTTGACAGCTGTACATTGTACTGATTGAAAGGCTTACGGGTGGACAGACTGATGCACAATGGCGGATTAGCTTATACTCTTTATTTATATATTTTATATTTATTTATCAATCAAATATGGGAGTATATGTGGTCGTAGATAAGCATATTCTTACACAGGTATGTGTATATGTGTGCATCATATGTGCGTGTTCTTGGGGGAAACGCACAAATTCAAAAATATGCATATGTGACTGTAAGAGGATTAGTGACACCATGCCAACGAAAGAAAACGTGATTTCGATGGCTGTTTTCTATTTACATAAGTATATGCAAATATATTCATTTACATATAATCGTACATTATTTATTTCTGTTGTTATATTTATTGATTTAAATACAACAAAGCAATGTGATTAACATTATTCGTTCCTGAGTCTGAGACGTCTTCTTGATCTCGATCGAAGTATTGTACATAGAAACGGGATTGACTCAAAATCCATGCCATTCATTATCAGTTGAATATTTGTACAAATGTGTGTACTTACATATTCTTGGACACTTGTAGGCAATGATATATGCACCGTTTTATTCCTACGCGTGGTAAATATTATTGCAACAGGCGCTTTTAATATTGTTTAGCGAGCTCATTCTGTGTTAAAATAAGAGAATTTAGGCTTATATTCTCTAGTTGTGTATACACATTAGTGTGTCCGTTATTTTCCAAGTTGATTGTTTTTTGAAAAGCCCCAGACATTTCAGTTTTTTGCCTAAAAAAAACATGATATTCCTTTTTCATCTATATAACATGGAATTTTTTGATATTTTGCACTAAACAAGTAAACCTACAACCAGAAAAAAATATATTCTATTAAAAAACTTGTCGCTCTACAAAAAAGGTCTTGATGATTTTTCCATAAGAGGGTGCTTCTTTAAAATGTTATGCATTCAGTAACTGAGCATTCATAAAGTACCATCAGAAAATGTTGAGGAATATTCAGGTAACCATGTCGTATGAGCAACATTGAATTTATAAGGCACTTGTTTGTATGCTCAACACATTTGATGCAAAAGTTTAAGTGCATATAACATTTAAACCAATCCTTGTATGAAAAAAATCATTAAGAGCTTTTTTGTAGAGCGAAAAATTTTGTACTAGAATATCATATTTCAAAGTTGGTGGTTTATTTTCTTTGGTTATAAAAAAATTATTGCAAAAGTTAAAAAAAGCCCATATTATATACATTGGAAAAGTAAAATGAATACAGTTGAAACACGAACTGAAACAAATCATTCGCTTAGATTTTTTTCTACTTATTTTGTATATCTTTATCCCTACAATGACCTTGCAGTACTTCGATTTTATAAAAAATGCAATTTTGGCGTCCACAAAATTTCTAATTTTTGAGCAAAATTAGTAAGCTAATCGCTATTTCTACGTCTCGGACTTTTTTAAAGTCTGCCTTTGTAAATGCCAATTGATAATCGTAGGAAATTGTTTAGACAATACCTTACAAATTTATAACTTTTTTTTTGTGTTTTCAACCACAGTGAAGGTCGCTATATCTGCAGCTATCTTTCGACACACCTAGGCGGCCCATTGTGATGTATATTCACTAATTGCAGTAATTTTATTTAATAAAATTTTTAAAAATCACTAATTTTTAGGCGATCACACTAAATGTGCCTCTTAAAGAGAGAAATGTCACCAAAATACACCAAACTTGAAATTATCAAAAACTTAATTGCTTAATTTTTTTTGATGAATGTCCACTGGAAAATGTCATTAAAACATAAAATAAATTATATAAATTTAATTACTGCCTACTTATTTTTCCAACAATTTATTTTCAATAAATTTTTTTTTTTCAAATTAAATATAGTTTCAAAGTTCAATCTATCAACCTTCATATGTCCCAAACGTGAAGTATTTTTCGCCTAATGTTGGTTATTTTAGAATTCGTTTGCGATGGGTTTCATGAGACTATGATTTTCTTTGTTTTCAAATTTTATTTACCCGGGTCTACCTCGGCTATTTTGCATAATTATATACATATACATGTGTATGTAAGAATTGTTGGGTAGCAGTGTTCTTGGACAAAGGGGGTACCATTTGAACGGATGCATAGACTTTAGCTTTGAAACTATTTGATGTGAGGAATTTGGGGCTTGGGAATCGGGTTTACGAGCTTTGCTTCACATGTGTTTGTAGAATGTAACCTATAAAGCTTTTAAATGACAGAAATACACATGGCGTTTTGTTATTGCTTATCTAAGAGCAAACTTTTTGTGTTGGTCGGAAAAGAGATCCTAGTATCCCTTACCTTTCAACTTCTATAGCCGAATAAAAGCGACCAAACTATATATAATTGGAACATGAGAAGCAGGTAACGGATTTATTTCGAAGACTTGTGAAACTGCATGTATGTTTGCACATATTACATAGAAATACATGTATATGTGTATGTTTATATACTTATACATATGTACATGCCTATAAAAATTTATATTTCTTGTTTATATAATTCCTTTTTCCATTCTGCACCACAAGAGAACTTTCACCTGTCCTCAAAACGCTTCTTATCAGCTCTTGAGTGTGGTCGAGCCTCCCATTTTAATTACCGTTATACATATGTAAACACATACATACAAGTGTATATTTGTACTTGCAGAAAGCAGAAAAACAAGAATATTTATTGAAATACAATATTTTATAGCTTTATATATGAACATATAAAAGTGCAAGCAACTTGTCATTCTCAAATCGAAACCGAAACCACAGAAAGTTCCACAAGTTTTATATAAATATGTAGTTAGTAAGTTTTTAAGAAACGATTTCACTTTAATGTGTTTAGAAATTCGGTAAGTCCACGGTCAAAGTCATATAATAAAGCACTTCCAGCTGATAGTGAAGTTATGTTTTTTAATAAGCATTAGATTTCATCGAAGAAGCATGGCGGACGGCGAAGCGCGTAGGAGTAGAAAATAAACTTTTTTTATCTATGCCGACCAGAAAACTCCAAAATTAACACAAAGGATAGCGTTTCATGGATGTCTTCGTATCATCGTATCTATCTTATGCAAAGTGAAGTATTGAAAAGTAATAAGAAATGTAGGTTTCAAACTTATTAGTAGTAAGAAATTGATGTTAACATGTCATCACGAGATATTCATCGATGGATAAATACATGGCTTCGCTATAGACTGCTGTAAAATGCATTGCAATGAAGTTCATCGATACTTCAACGAACACAGAACATACGCCATATAATACCCGTGAGTATATTATGCTTGATAATTAAATTTTGTATTTTTACTCCTAATAAATTTATCAAAGTCATAAGTTATAAATTTCATTCAGAACGCATACTAATTAACATCATATTTACGTTTCAACTTGACGACCTTCAACTTATGGATCAAATATGGACTCTGGCGCAAAGGATCAAAATAGTTTTTAAGTAATTATGGCAGACGTTGTGTTGAATTTGTTACAAATGCTCCAGTTTGGACTGATTACAAATCACTATCCAAGACACGGGTTCAATTCTCTTTAAACAAAATAAAGGCAAAGGCAAAGCTCTGATCGTATTTCTGTCGTAAAAAAATATCTTATCCAGTTGAAGGCGAAAGAACCCCAACAGATCTATACATTTGTTAGAAAACATTAAGATGTAATCCAAATATATGATTAATACAAAACTACCATTTAGGGTGCGTTTAATAAAAATCTGGTTAAATGCTAGTTTAGCATAGAATTTAACTTAAATATAATAAATGTATTCATTGTGTAGTTGACAACAAGCTGTTTTTTGTTTGATATGCTTGTGCTCATTCTTTTGATTAGAAATTTCTACTTTTCTAATAATGTTTTAATATTTCCAAAACTTGGTTTAAGATTTTAGCGCAAGAAACCTTGGCGCTTCATAGCTTATTGTCATATCCTTATTTTTCAAGACTCTTATCAAAACCCAAATATTCGAATAATATTTTCCAAAGCCAATAATTTACACAAAAAGAAACTCCAGTATTTGTTAATTTAAGAATCCAAAAATCTTTTATTAATTCTACTTAACCCCAATTTTAACATATTAAACAATATAAATTATTAAATTAAATTACGAGTATAAAGCTTATTCTAAATGACTACTAAACAAATGACAAGTACCCGGTACGCGAGTACCCACTGCCTGTGCATCACAAATTGTGATTGCCAATTCGATAAGTGGGAACAGTTAAATGTCAGATGATTGTACTTCCAGTGAGAAAAACATACTTTCAAACTGTCAAATCGCGACAATCAAAGCCGATAAAGAAGCAGTCACCTGGAAAATTCAGTCATTCATTATAATTCTGTTTTGAAAAATTTATTTATTAAACCTTTTTTTATAATTCCATTATAATTCGGAATGAGTATATATAGCCTCAGAGGCTTAAATGTGCGTTTCTGCCGGCAGGCCTACATATTGGCACATGTGCGAGCAGGAGTTGTTCCGATGCCGGGCCGCACCAAATTGAGGTTAAGTTTATGTGAGTGCAGTAATCAGCAGCCAAATAGTAGTCGAGGATATGCAATAAACAATACAGGCGCCACAATTGATGAACTAACAAGACTAAAGCCATATCTTCTTGCAGCCATAACGCCGTTACGCAGTAGTCACAACAACTTATATCAAATGGTAAAAAAGCGTACACTTGAAGCACGTACCAAATTGCAGCGTAACAAATTTCCCAATAATCAAGCATGTGAAGAAGAGCAAAAAAAAAATAGTACAAATGTTTGCAATGACCAAAGTGGCAGTACTGTCTGTGCATCACCATCTCCTGGTTCTTCCGCAACTCGACCATCAACTACCACATACCACTCTTCATCCTCATCCTCATCCACATCACCCCATTGCAAACCACAATTTGAAAAACTTGCTAAAGATCCTTGTCCGCCTAAGCCAGAATTGCAGAATAAAATGGTCTACAAAATTTTAAATAAAAAATTGAAGTTAAGAATTTTTATGTAATTGTTTAATCACTTTCTTTTTTCTTTAATAATTTGAACTATAGAGTGGCGGCTCGAAAGGTGGCGTTAAGAATGCTGAATTACTGCAAGCTAAAGACTGCAATATTAGTAAAAGAAAAAAGGTAACTTGTGATAAAAAGCCATGTGACGGTGAAGGTGCAGATGATTCGGGTGGTAAAAAGGGTGCGTCAGGTGGCGGTTCGATTATGGGAGATGATGAGGCAACCAGAAAAACTAGAATGCTACTAGCTTTGTTGGCGGCGCTTGGTCTAGGTGGTTTGGTATGTAAATAATAAACAATTTCGTCTGTGCATTTGTAAATATTTTGATTTGTTCTTTTTTTTTTAGCTGTTATGGTTATTAACACGGCGAAAACATAAGGTCGCCGACAGCACAGAATGCGGTACAACTGCAGCAATACCACCTACAGTACCAGCGACCTCTGCTGAATTGCCAAAACACGTACCATATTTGCTGATCGGAGGTGGTACAGCAGGTTTTTCAGCATTCCGTGCAATCAAATCGAATGATCCGCGTGCGAAGGTGAGTTTTATAAAAGCTAAAACATAACATGAGTGAATTAACAATTGGTGTGCATATTAGTTATACAGTGCGATTTGTGGCAATGATTTTTATTTGTGAATATTTATACCCTGAACAAGGTATATTTTTACACATGTTTATACATACATATTATTTTAGGTACTTATGATAACGAACGAATTGCGAAAACCTTACATGCGTCCGCCACTTTCTAAAGAACTTTGGTATTCGGCGGAGAAGGGTGAAGTTACAAAAGATTATCGTTTCAAACAGTGGACTGGCACGGAAAGAAGGTATTTATTTGTATTTATAACTATTATATTATTATATAAAAAATAACGCAAACCTGTAATATATTTTACCTAAACTCTTAGTTTATTCTTTGAGCCTGAAGAGTTCTTTGTCGAACCTACGAAACTAATGGAAACTGTGAATGGCGGCATTGCCGTTGCACAAGGCTTCACTGTCAAAAAGATTGATGCAGCCAAACATATTGTAACACTAGCTGATGGTTATGAAATCACTTATGACGAATGTTTGATAGCGACAGGTGTGTAAAACATAATCACACACACACATATGTATAATTGTAATCATATACATATATTTATATTGTTTAGGTTGTGCGCCGAAAAATCTCGATATCTTTGCTCAAGCAACACCCGGTGTGAAGGAGAAGGTTATGATGTATCGCAATCCAGATGATTTTGAACGTTTGAAACGTTATGCCGATGAAAAGAAATCAATTACAGTTGTGGGGAATGGCTTTACTGGCAGCGAGTTGGCCTGCTCACTGGCGAACTATGCCAAAGATAAGAAAGTGAAAATATATCAAATATTTCCAGAATCTGGAAATATGTCAAAAGTGCTACCGACCTACTTAAGCAAATGGACTACTGCCAAAGTGGAATCAATGGGTGTGTGTGTCATGCCGGAGACCTCGATTAAAAATGCGCAACGCGATGAAGCAGCGCTCAAACTGGTGCTTAATAATGGAAAGAGTCTTTTAACTGATGTGGTGTGTAAATTTATATGAAAATTGTTGTAGTTAGTGATATTGATGTTCTTTTGTTTACATATTTACGTCAGGTTGTTGTGTGCGTTGGCTGTGAACCGAATACAAGTATAGCGTTAACCTCAGGCTTGGAGGTTGATAGGAGTCTGGGCGGTTTTGTAGTTAATGCCGAACTAGAAGCTAGACGAAATTTGTTTGTGGTAAATTTTTTGCATAATAAATTTTGTGAATTGTTTTTTAATAATTTAATTGCAATATATATTATTTTCACTGCTGTGCATAGGCGGGAGATGCATCCTGTTTCTACGATCCGTTGCTTGGCCGGCGACGTGTGGAGCACCATGATCATTCGGTGGTGTCGGGTAGATTAGCGGGTGAAAATATGGTTGGCAAAAGTGAGTTATTGTAATTTATAGAAATTTTGAATTTTTCTCTGGTATATAATTAAGTTTTATTTACAATTTATAAAACTACATTCGTTTTACAGAGAAAGCCTATAATCATCAAAGTATGTTTTGGTCCGACTTGGGTCCAGAGGTCGGTTATGAGGGTATCGGCCTTGTTGATGCTTCCCTACCCACAGTTGGTGTCTTCACATTGCCAACACCAAGTCCAGAACGTCGTACCGATAACTTAACCGAAACAGCTGTTATGGAGGGTGGCGGCAGTGGCAGTACAGTAACTGTGAATCCGGAAACACCGGACGTTAAGTGTGATCCAAAAGATGCTGACGAATATGGCCGTGGTGTTATATTCTATATGAAAAATGATAAAATAGTCGGCATTCTATTATGGAATCTATTTAATCGTATTGGTTTGGCGCGAACAATTATAAATCAAAATAAGAAATATGACGATTTAAATGAAGTGGCGAAACTTTTCGAAATTCACGCGTAGTTCCGCGCAATGCATTCAACAAATTCGGTAATGTTTAATAATAATTTGGTTAGGTAAAAATGTTTGTTACCGTTAGTTAATTACACGTGTAAATTTGCAATGTACAATTTTAAAAAACGAAACAAAAATAACTACTACCTTTAAAAATATGCATTTCGATTCAAACCAACACACACACACACACACATGTAAAACAGAAAAAAAATATATAAGTGTGTTGCATTTGTAATTTAAGGACCATCGTAGCTGCCAGCAGTCAAGTCTTTGTCGAAAAAACCATTTATAAAAATTGTTTGGAATGCAAAATATGTACGCAAATCATGCACTACACTACTTGCCTAGCATTTAAGCTTTATCACAAGAAAAAAGGAGAGCAAATGATGGTATTCATACAATGCTTTTATTAGAAGAAACTCCTAATTGAAATCAAAACACAAAAACAAATACTTAAAAAATATACTTATTTTTTATTTGCACAGTATAGCTCAGTGCAGCCTTTATTTTATGCCTTAGGCATAGATGATGTGTTTTTGGAAATGACGAGGAAGAATAAATAATAGAATAAAATATGATAAAACTGTTGAAAATAAATTTTTATTGTTTTTATTCTGCTTGGTAAATGCCATTTTTTATTTTATTTTAAACTTTTTTTTATATAATTTTTTTAATTTAATTTAATTTTTTTCAAATTAAAAAAAAAACTTTTGATGTTATTTTAATTTTTCTTAAATTTAATTATATATTTTTTTTATTTAATTATATATTTTTTTTATATAATTATATATTTTTTTTTAAATTTAATAAATTTTTTTTTTAAATTTAATAAATTTTTTTTAAATTTAATTATACATGTATAATTTAATTACATATTTTTGTTTAATAATATTTTTTTTAATGTAATACTATTTTTTTAAATTTAATTTTATTTGTTTTCAAATTTTATTTTATTTCTATGTTATATAATTAAAAACATTTTTTTAAACAATTTTTTTTTTTATTTAATATGTTTTTTTTTAATTTAATGAATTTTTTTTTTAAATTTTTTTTTTAATTTAAAAATATATATATTTTTAAAATATTTGTATCTTTTTAAATTTAATTATATTTTTTTTAAGTAATGCTATTTATTTAAATTTAATTTTAGTTTTTTTTAAATTATGTTTTATATATTTTTTTTATTTAATTGTATTTTTTTCTAATTTATCATTTATTTCTGTTTTAATTATATTTTTTAAATATGATTTTTTGTATATATTTTATTAAATAATTTCCACAAACTTCGCAAGCAATTTTTGTAAAACTTTGCACTGCGTGCAAAACGCCAAGATGCCACTGAGCTACCAGACGAACAAAGTGCAACAGCAGGTCGCCAGCACATTTGAACGGAAGTCAGCGGTGCAATAGAAAAAGGTTGCATACCACAGGGCGTTGCCCAGCGACCTCTAGTATGATGCAATGCCGTTCGCGGGAAAAGAAAACGGAAGTGAACGTAACGTGACAGAATTGTTGCATACTTCAGGGCAAACGGAAGTCAGCCACCTACTGTGCGCTGCTGCTCGCCTGGTAATGCAGCTGGTGACACAGTGCATGGATTTGGTCGGTTTTGGTGGCAAAAGAAACAGGGTGAGCCAAAATTTTAATTTTTATAAAAATTTTAAAAGTTTGCAAATTGAAAACCAAAAATTTTAAAAAACAATACTACAAACAGTTAATTAAAAATACAAAAAGAAAAATATTAAGAAAATCCAAAAATTTAAAAATAATAAAATAAATAAAAACAAAGAAATAAAAAAAAATAATAAAAACAAAAAATATAAATATAAATTTAAAAAATTAAATATATTTAAAAAAAATACTAATAAAATAAATTTAAAAAATAATAAAACATTATAATAATATCTTAACAGTTTGTTTATTTACTGAGCAGTATTTAGTAAAAAATTCTTATTTTTTAGAAAAAAAATATTAATAAAACAACGTCATAAAAGATTTCATATTTTTATTTGTTTTATTTGTATATTTAATATTGTGTATTGTATAAAACTAAAGCTTAACAATAATTTATATATTATATGTTAAAATATATATATTTATTAATATTATAATTTTTTTTTATTTTACATTTAAAATTACAATAAAAATGCGCTAAAACTAATATTAATGTGCTAACACAAAGAAAATGGAAGCCAATGGATGAGAAATATTTTCCTTTTGTTTAAATTGAATTTAAAACACACAAAATATACAAATTAAATTAAAAGCTTTCAATTGTGTTACACTAAAAATTAATTATAATATGTATATATGTATGCGTAAAAGCGCGTAAAAAATACCGTTTACATGATAACATTATTATTGTTCACTTTTCTGCACTAATTAATTATTTTAAAGCCAATTTTCAAGCAACGAAATGAACACGTGTTATTTGTTAGATAAAAAAATATAAAATCAAATCAAAATTAAAAAAAAAAAAACAAAATTAAAAAATAAAACTAGCAAAAAAATAAAATTACAAAAGTAAATGTCGAAATTAGAAAAAAATGTTAATATATAGAAAAAAAAATAAAATAAAATAAAAATTTTAAAAAACATATTATAATAAAAAAATTAAAATTAAATTTAAAATGCATAGACGCCGAGGCATTTGTTTGCATTTCTGTATATGTATGTATGTATATTTCAACTTTTTCATATTTTTCTTATCACATTTGTTTTTTGCAGAAAAAAACTTTTTATTTAATTTTTTTTAATAAAACAATAATTACTTTTAATACATTTTGCGTTGTTTTTGTTGTTTGTACATTGCTAATCTACATACATACATACTATATATACATAAGCAAATGTATGTAAACATGTACATATGTATGTATGTATGTATTTGAAGAAAAACGCTAGCATTTTAACTGTATGCGCGTGTATTTGTGTGTGTGTTTGGAGTATTTTAAGATATTTAACTTAAAAATTATTTTGCTTAAATGTGAAATTTTTTATTATTTTGTTGTTGTATACATATTTGTTATAACTGCGCCAACGCTAAGCATTATTTTTTTTTTTGCAAAATTCAATATAATTTTTCATTTTATTTTTTTAACTACAAACAACAATAAAACAAATATTTACTTTTTATGTAAATTTTAACTGTGCACATACTTTTTTATACATACATACAAATATGCTATACATATGTACATATGTATATATGTATATACTTGTATGTATATGCATGTATGTTTGTTGCATATATGCGGGTGTTTGGGTGTGTTTGTGTGTGTAATTGTCGCCATTGCTGAAACCTGTTCCGAGGCGTTATTGTAAAGCTTAAAAAGGATCACTTATGTGGACTACAGCAAAATAATTTTTTTTGTATGTATGTATGTATATAATTCATCTTTACATATTGAAAATATTTACTACTTGCTAATAATTATTTTTTGTTTTTATGGTGTTGTTACTTAAAGTAAGGATAGCAAGTGCTTGGAAGAAATTTCAAAATATTTTAAAAAATATAAACTTTTATACTAAAATTTACACGTATCCATATATTTTTATGCTAAAAAATCATATTTTCTATTAGAAAAAATTACTATTTAATAAACTGTAATTGGCACATTACACCCCTCGTGTGGTTGTCTGAAAAATGACAACTTGAGCGAGTTTCAAAAAACACTCAATTTAAGAAAAGAATAATTATGTAATATCTGTGCAAAATTCTCGAAAAATTCTTTATTTTATAACTTTTGTACTCCCAGTGAGCTTTCAATTTAATAATGCAGCTTGAAATTTTCAAAAAGCTTTTTAAAAGCTTTCTGTAAACGACACTGCAGTAAAATGTGAAAAATCTGCAAACTAACTTGTTAATTTAACTCTGCCTTATCACTTGTCAAGGCTATAACTTTAAAAAATTACAAAAAAAAACTTCTCAAATCGGCTAAAAAATTTTAAGCTCAGTTTGCGGCAATAACAATTTAGTGAACTTTGAAAAATAGCACACTTGCGTAGCCATGAGCTTTTGAACTTCCACACAGCTTTTCAGCTTAAATGACCGGACTTACGCTTTTAATTTTATTCACGATATGCAATTACATTAGGAATTTATTACTTTTAGCTCCGAAAACGTAGTCATTGAGCTTTCAACAATTTTGAGACAAGCTTCTGAACACAATTGAGCGTTTTTAAGCTTACGCACTTAAACTTACAAGCTTAGCAATAAGTAACTTTAAGTTTTGAAAGCTTGCAGCTTGAGCTTTAACTCATTTTTGCTTCTAAGATTTCACAATTATGCTTTTTTTTTAAACTCCGGTTTCTTGTACTTGTCGTTCTGAAATAGCTCGTTATACTCCTTTAAAAGCTTAGTACTAAATGGACTTTAAGCTTGCTTGCTTAAACGGTGCATTCAAATGCTTTAAGACTAATATCTTAAGGTTCGCTTTGGACAGTCATCTCTTTGTCGCTTAAACTGACTATAAGAGCTTTTATTGTTCAAAAAGCTCTGTAGCTTACTTGCATCCAAGTGTCCAAGCTCAGTTGTAATGTCCTTTTCGCTTCCATCTGCTCATGTTTATGCTACTAGTATAATTTATATTGCTTGACTTTGAATGCAGAGCTTTCACACTTTTCTATGATTCATTCACAGAAGTCAATAACAATTTGGCAAAACTATATTTTTTCGTATACGAATAAGAAAGCTCAAATATAACAATTTACGAAAAATTTGCACTAATTACAAAAATAAAAAAAAATAAAAAAAATAACATAAAATTAAAAGTTTAAATTGGCTTGAATTAGCAAGCATATGTATGTATATACACTATCTAAAAATTAGTTGCTGTTCATTGTGTGTGTGTGTGTGTGTCTGTGAGTGTTCAAATTTATGTTTTTGAAATATTAATGAGTATATTTATTCTTACTTTTATTATTACATATATACATACCATATGCATATATATACGAGTACTATTTATATATACCATTTCTTTAGCTATGCATTTATGCATATACATACATATATAACTATATTGTTAATTATTTTGTCAATATATACATCATATGTATGTACATACATATGTGTATACATCTATTTGTTAAACAGTTGAAGTTATTGTAAATATATACCTTCATATATACTTATATATATTTTTTAAATTTATATTTTCTTATAATATATATAATATATTAGTATAATATATGTATCTAAACATAAATATACGCGTCTACATTTATAAACTATACAAAACGCTTAACTATGTATATATGTACTATATATATATGTATATAAATGTATATATATATATTTATATATGTATATACATATATATTAACGCATACATTTGCAACTACTATACTAATTATTTTATATACTTTCATACATACATACTATCAATGCTGTTCTAGACATATGCATGTGAGTATGTATTTGTTTGCAAATATCTGCCTGTGTGCTTGCACACTTCCAATCACTACGATCATTACGTTATATAATTTAATAATAATAAAAAACGTGCAACTTCTTGCCACTTACATACATAAACAAATGTTAATTTGACTGAAGTGCAATAACTGCGTCACTGCAAATGAATCATAACTGAGCAGAGCATGATCACTTGACGACGCTGGTAATGGGCGAGTGAATTCCCGTGGAATTGTTAGTTATTGAGTTTCATGCAACTTAGACGATGCTTGAGCACACATACAAACGTAGATTTGGCACTGGAGCAGAAGAACTTTTTTGGAGACTTCTCCCAACAGTTATTGGGTACTGCAACAGTTATTTCATATCACTAATTGCCTGCCACCTATAATTACGCGCACTCCTGAGTTACTCTCTCACGCCCACACACCCCTCACAGTACTCTCCACTTAACTACGAATGATTGTCCTGGCATTATTGTTGATGTGTGTGTGTGTGTGTGTCAGCAACTTAGACTCACGTATGTAATTGCTTGTGGCTCGGCTCTGGCTCACCATCGTCTTCTTGTTGCATATTGTCATATTAGTTAGCTCCTATCACTGTGTCCCTTCCACACGTCGTTTACTTCCGCAGATCGGTTGGCATTAGATTGACGGCGCCATATTTATTGCTCTCTGCTGTGGCAGCAGCATGGACGCTGTCCTCATCATTGCCATCATTGTCCATATGATCCATGGGTGTATGGTGTTGTTGTTGCTGGTGTTGCTGTTCCGCTTGTTGTTGCTGTTCGGCATGCGCTTGCTGGTGGTGTTGTTGTTGTTGCTCGTGCGCGGCTTGTTTGGCGACACTTGATTCGTGGCTCTCATTATTGTAGCGTATCAATTTGATTGTGGTCAGACCGTCAGCGTTGCGTATGAGTCTGTTTTAGAGATGATTGAGAGAGAGAGAGAGAGAGAGAGAGATTTATGAGCTGCTGTGCTGTTAAGCGCTTGCTATTTATGTTTGTACTTACGGATAGCAATCCTCCGCCGAGGGACTTGAGTAAGGCCGCTTTTCGCTGCTGTTGCCCGAGACACTTAGATCTGTGGGTTTCATCTCGTCACCGTGATCGGGCGAACGTGAACCACTGTTGTGTTCCACTTTTAAGGCGCCGAATTGGAATTTTTCACTTGGGGTGTGTGGCATTGCGGGCGAGTTGGGCGGTGCGCCCGTCGGATTGGATAAGTATTGGAAGGCACCGTTGATGGCGTGCATGAAGAGCGGCGATGTGGGTGGTGGACCGTAGGCGGCCGCAGCCGCAGCGGCTACAGCAGCAGCAGCGGCGGATTGTGAAATCGCTGGTAGACTCATGTGCGGATTGTTGAGGCCATTGCTGTGATTGTGGTTGTGGCTCAGGCTGTTGCTGTTGTTGGCGCTGCCGTTGCCATTACCGTTATTGCCATGCGCGGCTGGGTGACGCTGCGGCGATTGTGGATGCGGCAAAGTCCAATTTGTACTGTTCAAATTTGTACTGGCTGGCTGATTGCTGTTGTTACCGTTATTTGTATTGCTATTATTGTTGCTATTATTGTTGTTGTTGCTATTGCTGTTATTGGCGCTGTTGGCATTGTTAGCACCACCAGCTGCTGTTGTTGCACCGCCATTGCCTGCAACGGATTGTCGGAGCAATGAGATGTTTTTGATATTCTTGAGCTCGGTTGGATTGCGCAGAAACTGGTAGCAGTGGCGTTCGCCCTGGACCTTACGTAATATATTCACGCGATAGTAGTAGCGTAGCGCGCGCGACATTTTATCATAGTTCATGGATAGATGATTCTTTTGTATGCCCCAAAGCTTGGCCAAACCGGCTGGATCGACGATCTTGAAGACACCAGTGTCGCGACACTTCCACGCGATCAAATCGCTGTACTTCTGATTGCGATCGTTGAGCAATTGTTGCAGGAAATCCCACAGCAAACGACCATCTGAGCAAAGAGAGACAGAGAAAGAGAGGGAGAGCGAAAAGGTGATGTTAGTTTTTGCAAAAAAATTACTTAAATCTACAAAGGTTTGCGCTCAGAATATTTTCAACTCACTTGTATTGGGCTCTGTGGTTTCCGGGAAGAATTCGCGTTTCACAGGCTGCATATAGCTTGGCGTCGTCGGCGCCGAAACTGAACCGCCACTGCTGCCATTCGGCTGATACTTCTGGCTTATAGCCTGTGCGGCCTGGTTCTGTGACCACGAATTGACAAAACTGTTTGTAATCTGTTGCGACAAGCTCTGCGGCATATCTTTTAATATGGGCGTTGTTGGCGGACTGGCGCTGTAATGTGCTGCCACAACTGCAGCCGCTGCGCTGCTCTTGGACAAACTATTGGCCGCTGCTAACTCTGAGTAACTGCCTTCCTCATCAGAATCGGATTGATTGCTGCTGGCGCCCGTGCTGGCGGTCGCATGATGTGCTGGATAACCGTTACCGCTACTCATTGTAACCGAGATGGCCGGTGGCAACAGATTACCGTTGGCGCTGCTGCTGGTCACGCCCAAACCGCTGTTACTGCTACCGCTACTAGTGCTGCTACTACTGCTGCTGCTCGTGCTGGCACCGCTCACTGAAGCGACAGCGGCAGCTGCTGCGGCGGCGGCGGCAACAGCTAAATTTTGTTCCTGGCTTTGTGGCGGGCTGCTGGCTTGTGAGTCCACCGACGGTGGCGGGCTGAGCGTTACCGAATTGGGCGCCATGAAATGATGCATATGGGCATTGTGAAATGGACTGTCTGGTGGTGCGCCAATTGGTGGCCATGTGGGCGTCTGTGGATGGCTATGCGGCGACAATGGATAACGAGTGGTCGGTGTGACCGGACTGTTGGGTAAATGCCATTGCATCATGTGGGACTCGATGATGAGCATTTGCAGCACATTGTGTAATACATCACCAGCGCCCGGACAACGGTGGCCGAAGTCGGCGCGTGTAAGCAGACAAAGCGCTTTGCCGTTCATTTGGAAGAGATCATGATCCACTTTCGGTAGATCGAATTCACGTTCGCAGAAGCGTAAAAAGACGGTGACATCTTCGCGACCCCACAAACGCGGATCAGATGGCAACGATGGCGGCAATTGTGTCTTCAGTTCAGCCAATTGGCTGGAGGGCGCCGGCGGGCAACGCCACAACATATCACTCCACAGACCGAGCTGCGGATTCAACGACAGCTGTACGGGAAGCATTTTCATTTTGAACCAGAGACGCGTGCACGATTTTAATTGTTTGTGTTGACCAACGCCACACGGAAATATGACTGCTGCGACACTGGGTCGCTGGGTCGCCCAATAAGCTGCTCGCTGCTAATCAAGTTGCGCTAGCTGCTAGCTGGCTGGCTAGCTGTAGTGTAAACCGCTACGAACGAACGACTGAACGAATATACACGAACTGATCTGGAAAGAGGAGAGAAAAGAAAGAAAACACACATAAGATAAAGTTTACGATTTCGATATACGATATTACTAAGTAACTGCGACTTGTTGATGCAGGGTGAAAGGGGCGTAATAAAGCGGTACAATGGGCATGTGGGTGTATTTGAACGCACACTTCCGCTTGGGAATAGCTATATTTACATGTATATGTGCATTGTTATTAGGCGGCAGTGTATTGAAAACGAAAATCGAAACCAAAATAAATGCAAATCGTTTTGCGGTGATTGCCATATACATACATGTATATATATCTTCCAACAACAAAAACAGACAAATAAACAAATACATCCGTTGGCAATACGGACGTAAACCCACCGCACTGTATCCGCAAAAACGGGTTGCCGAAACAACGCGCATCGCGCCCAACCCACACAGACAGCATCATCAGCGGCAGATCACAGCTGTGCTCTGTCTGTATGTTTGTCAGCTTACGCGTTCGATACGTCGGTCGGTTGGGTGCGGAGCGATCTGCGATTTGCGCGTCGCGAACAGCAGCACGCAAACGTAATATGCGCCAAAGTAAAAATAAAAATAAAAAAATCGACCCAGCGTAAACACCTTTTACAGCGTGCGCGCCTCCAAATGTAGCAATTTCTTGTTTATGAAAAATATTTCGATATTTCGTGTTTTAATCGCGTAATATGTTAATTTCCTTCCCAAAAACCGTTTACTTGCCGTTTTTGGCGAAGTAAGAAGACGCGCGCGGTCTGATTTGTAAAGTGCCGGATACGCATATAGGGAACGGCTGCACATCACAGTGGCGCGATTTGGATAAATTTCGGTAGTTCAATGAGAAAAATATATGTGAAAAGTGGTAAACTGGAAAATATATTGATATGTTTTTTTATATATTTTTTTAAATAGAGGATTTAAGGATTGTGGCAAATAAGCAAGGCATTGAAAAATTAAACCTTAAAGCTGACATGTAAAATTAAATTAATTTTCAATAACTATTGTAAACGTTAGGTCAGTCTATAACTTAAAAAAAAATTGTTTATTTTTGCTTAAAGTACAGTTCAAGGTTCTTAAAACATTATACAATTGGTAGAATAGAGAAAAAAAAGTTTTTCCATGCCATTTCCTGTGTTACTAGAGCGAAGCGTTCGTGTTACGTAGCCTAGCACGTAAAACTTTAAATGCTTTTCCTGAAACAAATCGGAAACCCCTTTTATCTAGTATTCTGTGAACGATTTTTTAGATCTCCTCTCGTTTATAAATAATTAACTTCTAACTTTTTCGGTCAATATTTGAGAAATTTGAGTAAAAAGATGGTTATAAGACTGCCGGTTTATAAAAATTTAATGTAGAGCCGAAAACGTATATACCTATACTTTACTAGTATGCCTGCCCAAATATCAATAAGCCTAAAAGAGATAGTTTGGATTCCTAGGATTCATTTGTCCCAGAGTAAATTGTCAATGTCGAGCCCTTATAGAGTGCTCTGTACTGACCTAACCTCTTAAGTCCACATATTAACATGTTATGGAGATTAGTTGCTGCTGAAGTGTTTGCTCTCAGTGAAAACAGATAGAGCTTGATAGTTATCATATTCAAAGAGAAGTCTGCTTCCCTGCATGGAACCGCAAGTTAGGTTAGGTTAAGTTATACTGGCCGACTGTCAGGAATGCCAGATGAAGATTCAGTTTAATTTGAGCTGAAGTATTCGTCACACAGGACGTCAATGCTTTTTTCGAACTTTAAGAGCGATTCGATATCTAATTTTGATACTTCAGCTAGTCGCTTAAATTACGAAGCTCCTAGATAACCAAGACGAGTTTTAGATAATGTAAAGTATGATGTCGTGCCAGCAGTTTAAAAAAAAAAAATTGCTACATTTTTAGGCGTATCTCTCAGTGAAAGTCTAAAATTTCATTAGCTGGAAATTAGTACGGACATTTAGAAACTTGCTCGCCTCTGTTAGGCATTAATTTTTGTTTCGTGGGCACATTGTCCACCGTTAAATATCAAACCACCGCGTACCCAGACTCTTCGTGTCTAAACTTCCAGCGTCCGACCTTGAGCAGATAAGAAACCTTCTGAAGCCTAGCACACAGCCCTAATCTAACTCACCCACTGTATGTCAATGCTTGTCGTTTAACTTTGCAGCACACATGCAAGTTTCAACATAAAAAAGCAGCAACAACAACAAAACCGAATTGCTAACTCATATAAAACGACGATGCTGACGATGACGACAATAACTTGGATGTTATTGTTGCTGTCGATACTAACTAGTGCTGCGACTGATGCTGCTGCAAAAGCAAATAAAAAGCAGAAACAACCAAAACCAACAAAAAAAAAACGACTGACGATGACGGCTATTACGATCAGGCTACCTTGCGAAACTCGATTCGACATCTAAAACGTCGCAATGTGCCAACAACACAGCAACGTCCGTTGTTGCTGCCTTTCAGATGCAGTCGCTGTGGCAGTGGCAGTGGCTGTTGTTGGCGGCAACAGGGTATGTTTGTATGTGTGTTCGCCCAGACGCCGCAAACGGAAGTGTGCATACCAGGCAAAATGACAAGCAACAACAACAATGATGGCAACAAAAATCAAATAAACTTGTTTCACACAATGCAACCGCAAGCGGCCAACAAAAACGACTACATGCATATGTAGGTACATAATTTATGGTCTTAAATATGTATGTATACATGTATGTTTGCATGCATTGTATACATGCAAGTTTGTATGTTTGCAATGGTAGCAATCAAACAGTGCACAAGTTGGAGGAAGCGCTCGCGAGACGATCAGCGAGTTAAAGGAAGACCGATCGTATCCGCTAGTGGGTAAACAGAGCACGGATAGGCTACATACATACATACATACAAACATAAATATGTACATATATATTTATGTGTAGAGCCATGTGAGAAAACCAGCGAGCGGAGACGGCAAGCAGCTGTGGCAGTGGGGAACTGGGTGAGCGAGCATATGAGCAGCGGATGGAGTGGAAGAGGCTACATAAACACAAAATAAATGTACATGTGTGTCTGTATATAATTATACCCTGAAGTGGGTATAACAAGTTAGTCACGAAAACTCAGGAGGAAACATCGAGGGCCTTATAAAGTATATATATATATATAAAGGATCAGCGTGAGGAGCTGAGGCGATTCAGCCTTGTCTTTGGGTCTATTTTGAGATATCAATCTGAAATTTCGCACAAGTTTCTTCCCAATAAGTTGCTCATTTGTCGGTATCGCCGAAATCGGACCACTCTAGCACATAGCTGACATGCAAATTGACCGATCCAAATCATGATAACGGTATTTTATACCTTAATATGCTGTAAGAAATGCACTTGTGATGTGGGTTTTGTAGCTTCAGTGCGGCCAAAGTTAATGTTTTTTCTTGTTATGTTTGTATGTATGTTTGTGGCCATAGTGAAGTGACCTAAACAAAGCAGCAAGTAAGACAGTCAAAACTGCTGATGCAACACCCTGTTTTTCCAATACTTTGCTTTTTTCAGGCAAACACCCTACAGTCACACTCATACATACTTATACGCACACAAATCCACTTATAATTCTCAGCCGCTCTTATGACAGATTGTTTATATTTTTTCTTGCTTATTTATCGAAACTTTTTCACTTCCTCGTTCCTCGAGCGAATACACAATATATTTACGTCTTCTGTATGTATACATACATATATGGCTGAGCACAGATAGGGAAAAGATATTTTTACTTTGAGGGGGTCTGTATATACATAATACATACATATACATATATATGATCTGCTTGCGCATGTGTGCGTGTGTGTCTGTAAACTACAGACGATCATTTGCCGCTGCCCGTTCAACCGGTACGTCCTACACCACTATGGGTCTATCCGCCTGTCTTTACATACCTACGGGCACAGCTCACCCGCTAACTTTGTGAAGTATTCCTCTAGTGGCTATTGTTATTGTTGTTGCTCTTTACGAGTGTATGTTCATTTGTAGCTGCTGTAGATAATGTGTGGATGGTTGGAATGTGGTTGCTGTTGCTGCTGCCGCTAATGTTACTTGTGTTTTTGTTGTTGCTGTTGTGGCTTTGATTGCTGCGAGAAATGCACTGTCTTCAATTTCCAAGGAAACGTATGTACGTAAGTGCGTATTTGTGTATGCATAAAACGAAAACGACCTAAAGCCGGATGCGACGAGAGAACAAATGAGGGCAGCTTGCCGGCACGGAGACGCATAAAGTGGGAAGAGGGCTCGACGGTGAGACCCAGCGAGCAATCGGGTGGAGAACTGATCGAGAACACTCCAAAGAAATTACCTTAGTTTATGGTATAACATTTATGCTAAGAATAAAAGCAAAGAATATATGATGAGAGAACAACTGAGGGTAAAAAGTACATGAGTACTTAATATAGAGCCATAAGTAAGCCAAATATTGACCTTACCATTGTGTTGTTATAGATCTGCTCTTTCCATAGATCGACAATTATAATAGAATTTCTTTAAGAGAAAACTTCGGTTATTAGAATATTGTGAGAGATTATAAATCTTAAAAACTTATAAGATGCCTTAAATTCTTCCAAGATTTTTTAAATCATGAACCATTTCGAAAATACCAAAAAAACGAACAAACAAAGTTTCTTCCTACTGACTAATATAGACAACGGTATTCCTGAATATTTGTAAAAAGCTACTTCAACCCAAGCATTCTCTACAAAGCCTGAGAAATTCGAATTAGCTCTCGGTAATACTAAAGATTTTGGTTTACAGGACTATAATTCAATCTAAACAAGATAACTGGTCTAGTGACAGGACCACAATCCAAAAAGTTGTCTTGTTCGTAAACTAAAATTTCCAATCAGGCGTACAACAATATTCGAAAAGGTAAAGGTTAATAACAACAAGAAAAAGCGTTGGCGATAATGCAACCTTCGCAAAAAAAAGTGTACATATAAGAACTTGATATATACATATATCCTATAGTATTTTCTTTATTTTCTAGTCTAGGAGA